CATCTTCATCTTCATCTTCATCTTCATCTTTATCTTTGTCTTTATCTTTATCTTTATCTTTATCTTTATCTTCATCTTTATCTTCATCTTCATCTTCATCTTCATCTTCATCTTTATTTTCATCTACATCTTCATCTTTTCCTTTATCCTGATCTATATCTCCATTCTTTTCTTCATTTACATATTCACCCCGAACATTGTTATTAGGTTAGGTATTTAAATATTCCTTCCTCTTTGTCTTTATATTTAGGCTTCTTTACTTTTATTTTAATTTCTGCATTTATCCGTTTCTTCTTCTACATACTCAACTTTACCTTCTTCCTTGTTTGAGTCTAATCTATTCATGTACATATATGCATCTTATTCCTAAGCTGCTGCTTAGCACGTTTCTGTAATTCAGTATCAATATTAAAGCATACATTTAGGAGGCATTACCGCCCCAACCATGTATATGTATGGCATTAGTATTGGTGTCACTTTTGAATTGATTTTTTCGTTTTATGCTAAACTAATTTGAAATTTGAAGAATTTCTTGCATCTCAGCATTAAAATATCTTTTTAATTATATATAATTGTTTATACCTTACAGGTAAAGTTTAGCTGTAAAAGGGGTATAAAAAACAGGATTGCCTATTTATATAATTGATATATTGGTGCTTACATAGTATGCTAGTGTTTAGCCTAGTCCTCCTCCGATTTGTGACGTGCGCCTTGATGTTGTCACGCAAAGTGGAGCGACCTACAGTTTTACGTATGAGAAGCTGTTTTTCACGGCTGAATACACGCGGAAGTTTGTCATTGACTACGGGGAGGCGACCGTTATTAGAAACAAGTTTTTTTTTGATGTTGATCGGAAACTGGACGACTCGAACCCAAACCCTGCGGAGTGGTAGCGCTCCCTGCAAACCGCTACACCACAGCGGCCACGGTACGCAGTTTTACATCCCATTAAATTTTTCCAGTGAAAGTAACAACTACTTACAGTAACGAGCAAAACTGTAACATCCAAGTTCTAACGACATTCATACTTTTGTTGTATATTCTGATAGGTACATCCGTATTCCCTCTCTCATAACGATTTGAAGTTAATCCAACAACAATAAAAAGAACTGGCAGACAAAAATGTAAACTAAGGCAAATGTTACAGTTTTGTACTCACTCTCGGTTTTGCATTTTACAGTTATCTTTTACTTAGTTGGAAGTCAGATGACTTTTCTATGTATTGTAATTTATGCCAAATCGCAATCAGGAACTAAAAAAGACAAAAGGATGCTGAACATTGTATTAATTGTCAAAAACTTATTAAAAGTATATAAGTGCAAAACTGTAACATTTGGCTTAATTCACATTTTTGTCTACTAGTTTTATTATTGTTGTTGGATTGACTTCAAATCGTTATGAGAGAGGAGGTACAGGTGTACCCATAAGAATATAAATACAAGAAAAATATGAAAGTCGTTAGAACTTGGAAAGATATCGATGGCCGAAATAAAAAGTGTTACACCATGTAACAGTTTTGCCCGTCACTGTACATTCGTGGTGACTTAACTCAGTGGGTAAATCACTGGCTTTGTAAGTCGGAGTCGCTGGTTCGAATCACAGTGAACTTGATAAAGAAGTGTAATGAGGAGATGTTTTGATCTCCCAAATAGCAGCTATAACTTCTACCATTTGTAAACTATTGTTGTTTTTCCACAAGCACTTTTCATTAAAAACGGCCTCAAGCTCAATAAAATTCTTTAATTTTATTTTAGTATTATAAAGAGAAGGTTTAGGCATTTCATTAAAAAAAAGTTTGAAAGATTTCTGCAAATTAAGAGAACGCTGTCAGTTTTTTTATCACATATTTAGTTTTTGGTGTTGGAATATCGTTCGCTCTTAGGGCCAATAACTTATCTACAAATTTTAAAGTATAGTTAAATCATCAGTTAAATTTAACCACAGAAAATTCCATAGAAATTTCTGTACTTAAGTTTGGAATTTTCTGTAGTTACTATACTATAAGTAAATAAGTTAAGGGCCTTAAAGTGAAAAAATAACGAAAATTATGACGAGCAAAAAAAGCTTCTCAAAAACACGAGTAAGTGTAAGATTTCACACCCTAGGTGGTAGATTTGGTAGCTGCTCAAAGAAGTGGTAGATTTACCGCAATGTGGTAGAAGTCCGAGCACTGCTTCTAATTGTATGGAAATGTAAACACATATCAATTTATTCAGAAATTTTCTGTATGCAAGTAATTTAAAATATTTTGCTACTTGTTT